GAGCGTCGGAGGAGCCAAGAGGGCATGCGGCGGCGATAATGACGGAGGTATTACTGGACGCAGAATGCAAAGGGATCATAAACGCTTCTCAGAAAAGAGTACTCCTCCAGCAGATGGCTCTCCATCTCTCCTAAGCCCTACAACCCCCACATACCCACACCACACCTCTCTCCAAGTTTTGCTCTCTCCCCTTTTTGTTATGCTTGTCTCCTTCATGGAGCGTGTGAAGAGTACTTTTTTTTTTTTTTGTATAGAGCCGCAACACGAAGTGTAATTCCCCACGAAAAGCCTCACTCATATATGGTGGGCATCTCCCTCAAAAAAAAAAAAAAAGAGAGAGAGAGAGAGAGAGTCCTCCAATAGGTAGGTATGTACGTGAAACCCTTTTTTTTTCCTGCTATAGTAGCACGTTTGAAGAGTCAGATGAAAGGCAAGGAGCCTCCTTTGATTTCGAGAGAAATTTTCACACTTCAGATTTTTAGGGCAAAGGATCGAATTGTAGAAGGGAAGATTGATGAATTTTTTCAGGTATGATTCATGGTGGTGGTGGCAGACTTAACGGCAGAGAAACATTTGCTAAAAGCTCCTCCACTCCTCTCAATTTTAGTCCAATAACGAAATTTTACCTGAAGATGGAAAAAGGTGTCCCATATGTCACATCCTTTATTAGAAAAAAAAAATAGAAAGAATACGACGCGTGTCAGCTGTAAGATTACTTCAGATATTTTCCCTTTTTTTTATTTTGGTGGAATGGTAACGCGGATGAGAAGACTCTGGTCGCTTGGGGACTCCACCGTCTTTTTTTTTTTCCTTTTTTTTTTCTGAAAAAGAAAAAAGAAACACTCTACACTTGGGCACCATATGAGTGGTTGGTAAAGGTGGCAGTGGCAGTCACCGGAAGAGAACGGGGATAGAATTACAATAAAGGCTGAGTTCAAGGGGATCGATCCCCAGCTCTCTAGGGATTTTTCTAAATCCCCATTCCCAGATTCCCTAGAACTCGCAGTGGTTTGCGTGTGGGAGAGAGACAGAGATTGGCTTCAACAGTTCCTTAATTCTCGCTGCTGGCTGTGTAGTCGATCGATCTTCAAGCCATAATGCAACGGAGGTTCGTCCACCCACGTACCCATTCGCTTTTTTTGTGTTTTCCTTAAATCTCGCCGATGTACATCTCTGAATCCAGTTAGATGCATTTGCCCATGTTCTCAGATCTTCTCTTTTTAATGGCTTCACTCGAAAAGAGACCCAAAAAAAAAAAAGCTTTGCTTGCTCAGGTTGAGAGAAGATCTTTTCGTTTGTTTTTTTTTTTGGTAAAGCTGTGGTTTTGTTTTCACCTTGATTTTCTATTAGTTAATTCGTTGGTGGGTTTTCTGTTGGATCCTTGCTTGTTTCCGACCTTTAAAAATAAAAATTGGATTAATGGCTGCTGTTCTTCTTATATTTTAATCGATTTCGTCTTTAATATTGGTTTGGTGCACTCCTCCTCTGCAACCTACGAAACAAATCTAGTGGGTTCAGACATCATTTTGTGAAGTTTTTCCATCTTGTAGTTCTTTGTCCGATCAAAACCTGTCCTTTTCTTTCTTAACGAGTGATGATGGGTCGGGTGAATTTGGTTGATAGGATGATACGTCTTTGTCGCGTGTAGTTGGACATAACTCCTCGCTCGGTATGAAACTTCTTGTAATTTTCTTTGTTTGTTTGATCAATGCCATCCCAATGATGACTGATACGATGGTTAAAGGCAGTGCCTGATATAATCTTGATGACCCAATCAGCTCGGAGGGTCTCCTCTCCTTCGGTTGTTAGGTTCCGAACCCAATTTTGATTCAGGTTCCTCTTCGTTTCTGTTGTTTCTCTGTTTATGTAATGTAATTTACTAGCCCTGTGTTTAGATATTTGTATTGAATTTATTTTCTGGTACACAATATTTAAATCATCAAATATGGATCTCCTACTTGATTTTCTTCACCACATTACTGTGGAAACCGTAGCAGGATGTTCCGAGCTCTTGCTTCTTGTTGTGTAAAATGTCATGAGTCTTGTAACAATTTGAATTTCCATGTGCAAGTTGTTTGTTTGTTCAGTAAATATAAATCATTAGATCTGAAAATACAGCCGCACTTTGTGTCTTAATGTTTTAGTTGACTTTTAGCACTGATTATAGAAATATTTTATTATGGTTTTTTTCTGAGATCTGAACTGAGTGACCTGCAGCATCGTAAGCATGTAGGGATTCTGTATCTGCCATGCTTTATGTCGAGGAGATTCCTTTGATGTTGTAAAAGTTTTCATCTATGCAAATGGAAATTAAGGTAGATGTCTCTTAGGATCTGATGTTTTGATGGTTTATCGGGCTTCCGTGAAAACTGAGCAGAGTTCTGTACTGAGTTTATGGTCGGAAGTTCCATGACACAGAAAGTGTCCTGCTGTATGGAACTGCTTATTTTAGGGTTCCGATTGCAAAATTCTTGCGTATGGTGGGGTTGGTATAATCATATCTGCAGGCGGTTTCGTTTTGTCATTCTTCAGTTTGTTAAGACTTTGCGATTTGATTTTGTTTATGACATCTGTTTTCTTTGTTTTTTCGTTAGCAGGTGCACGATAGAAGAATGGAAAGGCAATCTTCTGGTTCATCTCTTTCTTATATAGGTTGTTTCTCTCATGGCACAATTCTAGAGTACACTAGACATTGTCTGAGAAAAACTTGTCCCTGAGTTATCTTTTTCGGATTGGGAACGAGCATTTTAAATATCTATGCAGTAAGATACTTTGCAAGGAATTGATTGGTGAAATTTATCCAAGTAACATGGTTTAATGATCTTGTGAAGAAGCAGCTTGTGATTTGGTTTGATGGGTAAAGAAAATCTGTTGGAAACAACTAATTGTGGAGTCAGTAACGATGGTTGTCCACCTCCCAAGAATGAGGAACTGGCCGTTGAGGCACGGTACAGTTCGGACAGGGAAGCAGGGTTGCCAACTTGTCGTGTCTGCCAATGTGTGGAATCTGACAGAAGGGGAGATGCTGCATTAGGTTTTCTGGGTATTACTCCTCCTCCTCCAGTTCAGGAATCTCGTAAAAGCAATGCACACGAAACTGGCAAAGACAACAAGATCCCTGGGGATGATCAGAAAAATTCTCGGGATAAAAGCAATGATAGAGAATCTGGCTTTATCGAAATAATAAGCCCTGATGGGGGGATCTTCATTTGCACTAGTGACATAGAAACGGGAGCATGGCAGCATCGAGATGCTTTGATTGAACTTGGATGTTCTTGTAAAAATGATCTTGCTCTAGTACACTATGCTTGTGCACTCAAATGGTTTGTCAACCATGGATCCACTGTTTGTGAGATCTGTGGTCATGTTGCGGAAAACATAAAGACTGCTGATTTCAACAAAGTGGTCATTGCCTTGAAGGATTACGCGGCACTAAGAGAAAGAACAGCTGATGGAGATCCAGGCATTGGTCCTGATTCAGTGGCTGCCATTAGAGGGCAACGACTTTGTGAGATCTCGTCTTGGTTTAGCCCACACAGCACGGGCAATAACAATAATAACTCTGCCACGGCTTCTCAGGTTATTTCAGAACAGCCGTTGGGTGTTGTAAATGAAGATTTCTTACCCGTGGAAAGCCGTGCAACCAGATGGGCGGTGGAAGGTACAGGGATTCTGCTTGCTACTGGGCTACTCACAGTCACCCTTGCTTGGCTCATTGCCCCCCGAGTCGGGAAAGTATGTGTTTTGATCTATTTCTTCTTCGTTACCAACTCTATTTCTTTTCGGCTGCTACTTGATGAACTTCTTTACTCACGCAGAAAACTGCAAAAAGCGGACTTCACATCCTCCTGGGCGGTCTATGTGCCCTAACAGTTGTCATCTTCTTCAGATTTGTGAGTATATATATCCTCGTTAACACATCTCCGATGTCTTTACGTTTAATCTTTAGTGTTTCCATGTTTACTGCAGCAAGTCTGCTATTGCATATGAGACTGGAATAGTGTCGGGATATGTTCTTATTGCAATCATGCTTCTTGTCTTCAACCCTTGAACATATGACCGACCCTTTTGCCTGAACTTTTACAGGTGGTTCTAACCAGAATCAGGTACGGCCCTGCCCGCTACTGGGCGATCCTGTTCGTCTTTTGGTTTCTGGTGTTCGGTATATGGGCTTCTCGTTCTCATTCTGCTCACACCAATTGATTCGTTCTCCTTCACCGATCCACATTCTCTTCGGTGTATTCTTTTCCTTTTCTGGTGTCCTTTCTGTCCATAGTTGTATTTCTTCTCCTCCAGAAATGTAAGTTCACTTTCATCAAAACGTTTTCCCAAGAAAAACCAAACAGAAAACGAATAGAAACCCTTTGTATTTTGTTCTGCAAAGCACTGAAACTGTACTGTCCTGTGTTGTGAGATGGAATTTGCCATTCGCCATTGGAATTTTGATGATTTGTCGTCGGCCAGAGCTGAAATAGGCTCTTTTGCTCTCTTATTACATAGACGAGAACATTTACATGTAAAAAGATAGATCTGTGTTGATAAGATGATGTGTACACTGCAAAAAGGACAGAGAAGGAACTGAACTGAACTGAAGTGTTAATGTGTTCGGTTTTAAGCGAGAACGAAGACATCGTCGGACATCAAGACCAAGTACTGCAGAATCCGAAGCGGCGCGTTTTTGAAATCCAACGGAGGAAGCCTCAGCTCCCTAACTCTGCACGACCCGTTTCGGCTTCTGGTCGGAATCCGACCGGAATACACTTTCCTGAACAGATACGCCGAGTTTCCGGCGGTGTGGTCTGAATCCGGCGATGGGTTCTCCTTCGTTTTGTAAAGGGTCCATCCTTTTCCCGCCAAAGCCCGCGAGAACGCGTCCATGGAACCGATTTGTTCGCCGGTGATTCTCGAGAAGAGAGAGACAGAGCAGCAATCCCAGTGGCTGGCGATGGATGGTTTATCAATGGCGGCGAAGACGACCTTGAAGAGCCCTTTGGAGAGAGAAACGAAGGACCGGAGGTTAGAGAGAGAAGAGGCGGAGAGAGAAGGAAACGAGAGCATGACGGCGTCGTTTGGGAGTGACCAAGACAGAGACGATGACAGCGACGTCGAGGACCACGTCGAAGGGTGAGACGACGGCGGATTCAGCGACGTTGACGGCGATGAAGATTCCGGCGGAGGAAACGAGAGGATGATGTGAGAGAGGGAAGGGGTCGGGTACAAATCCATGCCCAGATCTCTGGCGATTGTGGCCAATCGATACGTGTCGGAAATCAGTTCCCTTGTCGGGACGAAGAACAGAAACGGAGTCTTGGTCTTTGCCGTGTTCTTGTCGGATCTCGTCCTGGTTCGTGATTGTCTCGACGAGCTCAGAATTTGCCGGATCTTAGTATCTCCATCGCCGTCGCCGTCACCGTCACCGTCACCATCTCTGTCGGAGACGTCGGAATTGTGGGTGAGATTGAATGTCTCGCCGAGGACGAGAGATCGAACCAGCTTCAATGGAAGCATTGCTTTCTTCCCCTTCCTCTGTTTTTTTTTTTCCTTTTTAAATGGACGTTTGCTTTACCTTTGGGGCATCGATAATGTCCGGTGACTTTTTGACTGTAATGAATTCAACGGAGACCCTCTTAAATACCAATGCTTTTACAAAGTAATTTTATAATTATCGCATATATTATTATTATTATTATTATGTAAATAAAATTTGGTTGGATGTTCGTCGATTTTTCATATTCGGTTGATATGATATTTGATTCGGTTCGAATTTTCAACATTTCGGTAGCATACGAATATCCATAGATATTCTTATATTTTTTTTAAAATAATTGAATTTGATTTAAATATCTACAAATATCACATTTTTAATTTACAAATATGCGTAACAAAATTACTATCCATCGCGTGTATATATATGTGTATATATGTGTGTGTGATAGCCGTTAGATGGAGAAGTGGGGCTTATGATTACAAATAAAAGATAAATCATAAAATGATTAGGATATGTCATGAGATTAAGCTGTCTAGCAATTATGTCCGAACGTTTCTCTTCTACCAAATAAAAAATATACTTCTTGCACCAATTTTATTAATAACATTGCTTAGTTAACTTAACACCAATATGCTATTTCATTTGGCTTATATTTCCACATCAATTTTTCATAAAATTTTAAAATTTTCCACATACTAATATATACTTCATAAGTTTCAGAAAATTATAATGTTTATAGTTTACTAAACCATTTAAAAATGATTTAATTTGAACATATCTAATCCGATAAAATTATATATTTTAGAAAAAAATCTAAAAATTTCTAAACTTATAATTTGGTGAAATAATAATTTCTATATTTTTGTTGTGTTTAATTATTTTTAAACTTAAAAAAGTAATTTAATAATTTTTAAACTTGTTTAAAAATATCAGATGAATTTTTACGTGGTTTATAATATACAATGACACCTCATATATCACGTAGGATTTTATAACAATATTATTTTAATCGATTTATACTAAAATTAAAAACTGTTGAGTCACTTTTTTTAAATTTGAAAATAAGTAGATACAACAAAAAGTATAGTATTATTATCCCACATGTCCTATATTTTACCCGATCATTAAAAATGACAATCATTAAAAATGAGTGATGTTTATAAAAAAGAAATGGAAAAATAAAAAAAAAACACTCAACTTTACAATTTTGACAAAAAAAAACACTGAACTTTTTATTTTATCAAATAAACATTAAACTTTTTAAATTTGATAAAATAAACACTTAAGTCTTCTACGATGGTCAAAATAAACAAAATGAATGATGTGACCCAATTAGATGCAAACACGTCAGATTATTTTACTTAGTTTTTTTTTACAATCGGAAATATATTTTTTTGGATCATTAAAAAAGTTCAGTGTTTTTTTGATAATCGCAGAAAAATTTATGTATTTTTTGAATCATTTAAAAAGTTTAGTATTTTTTTAAACTAGTTTAAAAGGTTTAATGTTTATTTGATAATAACTAAAGTTTAGTGTTTTTTTTGTCAAAAAATTGTAAAGTGTTTTTTTTTTTTTGGGATTTTCCCAAAAGAAATGTTTCTTTTGATATTTTTAAATGGGCCGATGTTGGGCTGATCGTACCATTCGGCTAATGGGTCGGGTATTCGGGTCCTACAACTACTCAACCCGGAAAGTTCGTCTTCTCTTACTCTCTCTTGTGTGTTCCCATCGATTTCTCACTCTCATTGGGATTCCATGAATGCAGCAGCAGAATGAGATCTCTTGCCTTGGTGTTGTTCCTTTTTCTCGGCTCCCAAACAGCATTTTCCTGGAAAAAGGAGGAGTTTCGCACCTGCAACCAGACCCCTTTCTGCAAACGCGCTAGATCCCGCACTCCCGGCGCGTGCCCTCTCATTGCTGGCGATGTCTCCATATCCAACGGTGACCTTGTAGCCAAGCTCCTCCCGAAAACCCATTCTCAAGGAGATGCGGATCAGATCAAGCCGTTGATTCTCTCTCTTTCGGTTTATCGGGATGGGATCGTGCGGCTAACGATCGATGAAGATCACTCCCTGGACCCGCCGAAGAAGCGGTTCCGAGTTCCCGACGTGATAGTCTCCGGATTCGAGGAGAAGAAGGTTTGGTTGCAGGGCGCAACGACGGAGACGATTGCAGGAGACAATAGTCCGTCTTCTGTGGTCTACGTATCGGACGGCTACGAGGCAGTGCTGCGGCATGATCCCTTTGAAATCTTCGTCCGCGAGAAATCGGGCGATCGACGCCGAGTTTTGTCTCTGAACTCCCATGGATTATTCGATTTTGAGCAATTGAGTAGGAAAAGTGATGGCGAGAACTGGGAAGAGAGTTTTAGGAGCCATACTGATTCGAGACCGTATGGCCCTCAATCCATTAGCTTCGATGTTTCGTTCTACGATTCCAATTTTGTTTATGGAATTCCTGAACGCGCCACAAGCTTCGCTCTAAAACCGACTAGGGGTCCTGGAGTTGAGGAATCTGAGCCTTACAGGCTCTTCAATCTAGATGTCTTTGAGTACCTCCATGAATCACCATTTGGGCTATATGGGTCAATCCCTTTCATGGTTTCACATGGGAAATCTGGTAAAAGTTCCGGTTTTTTCTGGTTGAATGCTGCTGAGATGCAGATTGACGTTTTGTCAGATGGGTGGGATGCGGAAAGTGGAATTTCCTTGCCATCTAGCCAGAGTAGGATCGACACTTTTTGGATGAGCGAGGCAGGGATCGTAGATACGTTCTTTTTCATCGGGCCAGAGCCAAAAGATGTAGTGAAACAGTATGCACGTGTGACGGGTACTTCGGCTATGCCACAGTTGTTTGCAACAGGCTATCACCAATGCAGGTGGAATTACAAAGACGAGGAGGATGTGGAGCAAGTGGACTCGAAATTCGATGAACATGATATCCCTTACGACGTTCTATGGCTTGATATTGAGCATACCGATGGGAAGAGATACTTTACATGGGATAAAGTCTTGTTCCCTCATCCAGAGGAGATGCAGAAGAAATTATCTGCCAAGGGCAGGCGGATGGTGACTATTGTGGATCCTCATATCAAGAGGGATGATTCGTATTTCCTACATAAGGAGACTACTCAGAAGGGGTATTATGTTAAGGACTCGTCGGGGAAAGACTTTGATGGTTGGTGCTGGCCTGGTTCATCGTCGTACATTGATATGCTGAGTCCGGAGATTAGGACATGGTGGGGTGGCAGGTTTTCGTGCGAGAATTATGTTGGTTCCACTCCGTCATTGTACATCTGGAATGACATGAATGAACCTTCTGTGTTCAATGGTCCAGAGGTATACCTCTCTTCCTTGTTAATCCTGTTTTCTGTCACTGTTTTCTATAATTTGTGCTATGCTTGTGATGATAGTGCTAGGAAAATCATGAAACCTGTTACCCTATTTTCATTTCTCCTCTGCGCTGTTAGTCGATATGAGATTTTACGTCTAGAATGAAGACTGAGTTTATGTTTTTTTTTTCCTAAAATAGGTTACTATGCCTAGAGATGCATTACATGTTGGGGGCGTGGAACATAGAGAAGTTCATAATGCTTACGGGTATTACTTTCACATGGCGACTTCAGACGGGCTTGTCATGCGTGGAGAAGGAAAGGACAGGCCTTTTGTATTGTCGAGAGCTGTCTTTCCCGGAACTCAAAGATACGGAGCTGTCTGGACTGGAGATAACACGGCGGAGTGGGAACACTTGCGTGTATCTGTTCCAATGATTTTGACACTCGGTCTTACCGGAATAACATTCTCGGGTATCGATGATGCATGATCAAGTTCTACTGTTAGGTTCTTTTTCTCATGATCATATAGAAACTTCCTTTTCTTTTTGCAGGTGCTGATGTTGGTGGATTTTTTGGCAACCCTGAAACAGAATTACTGGTTAGGTGGTACCAGTTGGGAGCTTACTATCCATTTTTCAGGGGTCATGCCCATCACGATACCAAACGACGAGAGCCTTGGTTATTCGGGTGAGAGATTCAATCTGCTTTTTTCCCTTGAAACATTCCATGGTTTAGTCGGGAAATCCTTGTGACAAACGAGAAGGATATCGGTTCATATTTAGCAGACTGACGTATAACAGATTGATTTCATCTACTAGCCATTAGGCCGGTATCTCTGTTCTGCTGGTTCGGATTCATCAAGATTTCTTGTTCCGTCATTCTCTATTTTGTTTCAGGGAGCGCAATACCGAACTCATGAGAGATGCCATACATGTTCGGTACATGCTTCTTCCGTATTTCTACACTCTGTTCAGAGAAGCAAATGTTACCGGTGTTCCCGTTGTACGGCCACTGTGGATGGAATTCCCACATGATGAAGCTACCTTTAGCAACGATGAAGCTTTCATGGTCGGTAATGGTCTATTGATCCAAGGAATTTACAGTAAGGTACTTCGAAAGCCGACTGCAACTACTATCTCCTTCCTCTTTCCTCCTTATTTTCTGACTTATTTTTATTTTATTTTTTTGTGAAATAGGGAGCTAAACAAGCATCGGTGTACTTGCCCGGGAAAGAATCATGGTATGAAATGAGAAGCGGGAAGATATATGCAGGAAGCAAGACACATAAGGTCGAGGTTTCGGAAGAGAGCATTCCAGCTTTCCAAAGGGCCGGAACTATCATCCCCCGGAAAGATCGATTCAGGAGAAGCTCTTCTCAGATGGACAATGATCCTTATACTTTGGTATGGAATTGTGATTTAGCATCTTAAAAACCCGATTCATTCCGTTTTATGAGCAGTGTCGATAGATTAAGTCCGACCCTTTTGTGGGTACTCACCATCTTCTTCTTCAGGTTGTGGCCTTGAACAGTTCTCAAGCCGCAGAGGGTGAACTCTACATCGATGATGGGAAAAGCTTCGAATTCAAGCAAGAGTCCTATATCCACCGCAAGTTCGTATTCTCAAACGGGCGGCTCACGTCCTCGAACCTCGCTCCACGAGCTCGGTTCTCTTCCGGTTGCATGGTGGAGAGGATTATTCTGATGGGTCATGCCTCTGGACCGAAATCTGCTCTGGTTGAACCATCAAACCAGAAGACGGACGTTGAGATGGGACCGCTCAGGCTGGGCGGGGCTGCGGGATCGGGTTCCGCCTTGACGATCCGCAACCCGGGAGTCCGAGTGGACGAGGACTGGTCGATTAAGATTCTGTGAGTTGGTCTGAACCACTCGCCGGTGGTTACTGGCCGTTAACTTTCAAGTCTTTTTAGCCGTAAGAACTAGCAGTTTCCTTCCGAGTCATCATTTGAGAGTAGAGATTACGATATTCAACACGACATTATACATTGGCTTTTTATCATTAAATATCAGTAAAAAAAATAAAAAAAGAAAAGAAAAGAAAGAGGAAAGAAATCTCGAAGCTTTGCAGCAACAATGGAGCCAAAATCACCCTTTTTATGCTTAGTTTGTATCTACTTTGACTTTCAAAAGTATCATAACGTTACGAAATTAAAATCTTTCAAGTTGAAAAATCTAAGCAGAAATAGTGACAAAAGCATATATATATATATGATTGGTATTTGGTTTAATTACCGAACTGAATATATATGTCAAGTTTGAAACATCTGAACCATACATATATATGGTTCGGTATTTAGTTTGATGATACATAACTGAACTGAACAATACATTTAGTACTGATCCATTAGATATTTTTAAAATCAAATGAATTGAATTTGAGGTAATTTTTTAATAAAATACTAAATTCGAAAGGAAAAAGGAGATAGAAAAAAGATATAATTTGTACTAGACAGATATGCATGTGTGCATGAGTGTGTCATTTGCATATAATGGAGGCCAAAATCAAGATCAAAACCAAACATGGGTTTGGGAAAACATCACATCACTTTTGTCATTCGATCGCCACTAACATTTTTGTCGCCTGTCCAAATGGTTCATTTCATTACATTACACATGGTATGGTATGGCATGGTATGGTGGTATGTGTCAAGAGAAATATGATTGATGCATGGAGTTCACGACTCATCATATCACAAAAAGCAAATAACAAAAGAATAGAAGACTATTAATTTGGAGGAAAGGAATCATATTCCATGTGTCTTTCATGATTTGATTTTAATTTAAGAGCCAAAAAAAAAAAACAAAGGAATCTTGGAATTCAAAGATACTGTTTAATGGAATAAATGTATGGAGGATATATAATAAGAGCACTTTGAAGGAATTCGATTCTCTTCCTCATCTCATTCACATCCTCTATTTCTTTTTAAAGACTGATCCTTCCTAGTTGTCCTTATATATATATATATGTGTATGTATATATCAAATTCCTCATTTTTATTCTTCTTATTTTATTTTTCTTATAATTTTTAAAAAATGGTTCCTTTCAAAACACTACACTTTTGTGTACATAGATGTTTAACATGTTTAAACGTATGATACACAATTTATATATATATATATATATATATAATCTGGATATTTATCGGATCTTTGGACCAACTATATATTTTAGAGAATGAGAAAATCCATATAAATGTCCATCTCGATGAAAACTCGAATCCGGATTAAAAAATAGATTTATTCCACCTCTTATCAGTTGAACCATCCAAATTTAAATATAAAACATGCATTTTGCTAGATATGATAAACCAATTGCATTTTTAGTTCAATTGTTAAAACCCTATATCATACTTGAACTAATAGTATATTATCTATTTAAAAAAAAACTATTTCTCAGCCCGTATAAAAAACCAAGATTTTTCTATTAATTTCTAGATATGCCGATTTCTATATATATATATATAGAAATCATACGTTGTAAAGAAAACCCATAAAGAAGTTGCAGATTTGGTTATGATATAATTCCAACACATAATATATGCAGAATTATATATTTGAAGGATTCGGTCGAACCCAAAAGGTACGGAGGAGCAGAGAGGCATTTGATTCTCTAAGGATGGAGGAGAAGTGCACACCTTGGATGGATGGCCATTCCCATTTTCACAATATGAAATTTCAGATTCAAATTAATTATTTAAATAATTATTTTCAGTCATAATTAAATACCCACTTTCCCATTTGCCTATATAATCCGATGACCCCAACACAAACCCAAAACGCAGCAAAGCCTTGGTTTCACAAACCCATCTCCACTCTCGTGCATACATAGGGCTTCTCCTCTACACTAAAGTCTCCATCCCAGACAGAGGCTTCGGTTCCCTGAGGTATTATTACACACAACTTTGCTTGTTCCACAAGGAAAGCGACTTACGTGTACCACAAGAAACCAATTTGATTGTAGAAATATACCGTTTCTTACTGACAGATGGGTGAGAGTGGTGCCAATGTCCTCCCTCAGCCTGCTTTCAAATGCTTCGACGACGATGGACGCCTCAAACGAACGGGTAACTCGTAATGAGATTCAACACGTATCGATTATCTAAAAAATATCACAGGTATTTTTAAAAATAACTAGTTTTCGCACCGGTGATGTGAAAGGTCGGGATTCCACTTCGAATTATAATCCCTCGGTTTGGAACCACCTTCTTTCCTTCTGTTCCTTGACTTGAAGCATTGGAGTACTGAATTCCGAAACATGGTTTCAGGGACGGTATGGACAGCGAGTGCGCATATAATAACAGCGGTGATCGGGTCGGGTGTTCTGTCGTTGGCTTGGGCGATAGCCCAGCTCGGTTGGATAGCTGGTCCTGCGGTCATGCTCTTGTTCTCCTTCGTCACTTACTACTCTTCAACTCTTCTCAGCGATTGCTACAGGACCGGAGATCCAGTTTCCGGCAAGAGAAACTACACTTACATGGACGCTGTCCGGTCTATTCTCGGTATATAACCTCGGAGGATGATGTTCTGTACTGTACTGTTCTGTTCTGTTTCGTCGGTGTTGTCTTTAACGGCGTCTGTTCTTGCAGGTGGGTTCAAGTTCAAGATCTGTGGGCTGATTCAGTACCTGAATCTTTTCGGCATTGCAGTTGGATACACAATTGCAGCATCTATAAGCATGATGTGAGTTTCTGCAATATCGAAAAAAAAACGAACTTTAAAGTGAATGTAACAAGACAGGAGAAGATCTTATCTGGGTTTTCGTGTTGATCGTGCAGGGCGATCAAGAGATCGAACTGTTTCCACAAGAGCGGAGGGAAGAACCCGTGTCACATGTCGAGCAATCCGTACATGATCATGTTCGGTCTGACGGAAATCTTGCTCTCTCAGATTCCAGATTTCGATCAGATTTGGTGGCTCTCCATTGTCGCTGCTGTCATGTCCTTCACTTACTCCGCCATTGGTCTTTCCCTCGGAATCCTTCAGGTTACAGGTAACTAAATGTTTCCCCAAGCAGAACACCAGTTCTTATGTAAGAACCAACATGATGGGATGGCATAATATCTACGATCTGGATCGATGGTTATAACTCTGTTTCTGTCGGGAAATTTCAGCAAATGGGTTCTTCAAAGGAAGTCTTACCGGAATAAGCATCGGGACAGTGACTGAGACCCAGAAAATCTGGAGGAGCTTTCAAGCACTTGGAGATATCGCCTTTGCCTACTCCTACTCCGTCGTTCTGATCGAAATTCAGGTGAAAAACGAAACCAAATTCCCCAGATGGATCGGATCTTCTTTCGAAACGATTTGTAACATCATCTCTTGTTTTCTGGTCGGTTAGGACACCGTAAGATCTCCACCTGCAGAGTCGAAAACGATGAAGAAAGCAACGAGAATCAGCATAGCCGTGACCACCATGTTCTACATGCTCTGTGGCTGCATGGGCTATGCCGCCTTTGGGGATTTCGCGCCAGGAAACCTCCTGACGGGGTTCGGATACTACGAGCCGTTCTGGCTCCTCGACGTGGCCAACGCCGCCATTGTCATCCACCTGGTCGGAGCTTACCAGGTATTCTGTCAGCCCATCTTCGCCTTCGTCGAGAAATGGGTATCGGAGAGATTCCCGGGAAATGGCCTTCTCGGGAAGGAATTCGAGATCCGGGTTCCGGGTTTCAGAGCTCCGTACAGGGCGAACGTATTCAGGGCGGTGTTCCGGAGCGGGTTCGTGGTATCGACGACGGTGATATCGATGCTGATGCCGTTCTTCAACGACGTGGTGGGGATATTGGGGGCGTTAGGGTTTTGGCCATTGACGGTGTATTTCCCGGTGGAGATGTACGTGAGGCAGAGGAAGGTGGAGAGGTGGAGCGTCAGATGGGTTTGTCTGCAGATGCTGAGTGTGTCTTGCCTCGTCATCTCAGTGGTGGCGGGTGTCGGCTCCATTGCTGGCGTCATGCTCGACCTTAAGGTCTACAAGCCCTTCAAGAGCACCTACTGATGATGATGATGAACAAAAACAATTAAGAAATTGGAAAATGTGCATAATGCAATTGTTACATTCTGTAATCTAATCTGTTAATAATTATGATCAATGTTTTATTCTCTCCACCGTTTTTGTTCTTTTTTTACTTTTTTAAATATTTTTTTATTCGTTACACTGTTGACTGCAATTCAAACCCTTTTCCAATTATAAAATATGTGATCGGAAACTATAAATATGTGATATCCTAACATTAAATTTATAATAATTTTATCAAATAATTAATATATGATATATAAAAAATAAATATAATGAATTGGTACGATCACTGTTAAATTTAACGTGACCTATATAAAAAATAATTTTGATAATATCCTAATTGATTTACATATGAAATATTCATATTATATTTACATAGGAAAAAAATACCATAAAATATTGAATTTACAAAATAAAATGATAAAAAAAACTCTCTAAATCCTAAATTTCTACGAAAATATGAATTTATCAATATATTTTCCATAAAAAACAACAGTCAACTTGTAAATTTTTTAATATATATATATATATGAATAATAACATAAAAAGTTTGAATTTACAAAAAAATAACAAAAAACTCTAAACGTATAAATTTCTAATAAAACACATGAATTTATCTATATTTTTCATCCAACGTTCAACTTGTAAATTCATTTTTCAAATCAATTAATATATTAGATATTTTTTTTAAAAGAAGTTCAGCATGTTTTTTGGTATCTTTTCTACATATAATAACTCGCATTTAAACGGTGGATAAGGGTGCAACGTGGCACAGTAATTGACCAGGAGGAGCTATCATCGTCCGATTTGTTGAAACCTCCGGGAAAATTTTAAAAACTTGGATAGCGGAATTCGAAGAAAATTTTCTCGTCCGCCATTGACGGCCGCATTAGATCTCCATTCGGTGTATGTGACTCTGCCTTTTCTCCCGCCCTCTATCATTAGTCACTGTGAGCTTCTTGGGATTGCGTCTTTCGCAGATAATTTGATGTTTTTTTTTTCATTATCGCCAAAGAAATCAATTTCGTTGTTTGCATTAGATGTGTTTCGACTCCGAATAAGAGGTAATTTTAATGGAATGCGGGAAATCGTGTTCGATTAATGGCTTTGTCTTGCGCTGTAGAAGCCTCTCATTAGAATCTGTGAACCAGTATTGATTATGAGAATTGCTAGAGCCTCCTTGGAAATTCTCTATCTGTGTTTTATGCGTATTTTGGGTTCATAGTCTGTAGAGTTCTCTGAGAACGAATTAGGGCATATTCGTGGTGAAATTGAAATGATCCTGATGTGGAAAACTTGGTTCTATTTAACATGTTCTTTGGGATGTGCTGAAAGTTTGAGTTTCCCTATCAAAAGTGTTTTAATGTTTCCAGGAGAGTGCAAATGCATGTTTTTTGTTGTTAATTTGAGTTTTTTTTTGCTCATTCTTTTTTCCCGTTTTAGATATTCGAGAAAATGATGAGAGTGCTAGCAAGTGTTGCCACAGGCGAGTTCGAAAAACCCTAGATTGGACTTTCTTTCTGATGCTTTATCCGATCCATTGCTTACATCATAGCTTACTCTATCTTGAATTGATATTATGATGTTTCCTTTTAACAGATTCATTTTGGTTGCATGGTATGGGCCATCCATCATGGTCCAAGGGAAGAATGGTCGTATTGTTTAAGGGCTGCGCTCGGTCTGTGAAAACAGCATGTCGCATTTCAGTCCCCGGCATTTCACTGGGAACTGAATCTATAGGACCTCCAATGTTTCTGAAGGACAAGAAAATAGTCCCTGATGCTGATCCTCCCAACAAGGAAGATATCCACAAGTTGTATCAGCTTTTTGATCAAAGGTCATTGTTTAGATGTTTTCTTGTACGAAAAAACGGCATGCTTCACTTGTGATGTACGTGGTCTTACGATTTAATTGCTTCCTTCTCTCCAATGCAGTTCCAAGCTCACCATTCTGACAGGAGCTGGGGTCAGCACAGAATGTGGAATTCCTGATTACAGAAGGTTCTTGTGTTGTTTATTCTGCTGATTGGTCTTTTTGAATCTAATAAACTATACTGATGACAGCATTTAGCAGATTTTTCTGTTTTCTGTGAATATCATATCGTTCCATTCTTTGATTAATAATTATCTCCACGGGCCACCTTATTCAAATCCTTTGAAAGTGATTGTCAAAGTAACCTGACAACTGTGATGAACAACTGCTGAGAGCGCATGACTTTCAGCAGTAACTACATAAAAAATACTTTATAATCTCTTTTTGGATTCTTGCTATGTTTTCTTTTGTTATATCTAGTTTTATTTTGCAGTAATTTGACTTGTAAAAGTTCCGCTGCAGTCCCAATGGAGCATACAGTTCTGGTTTCAGGCCGATTACTCATCAGGTGATCTAAAGGCAAGACCTATGAATTTTTTTCTTCAATTTTGACATCAAAATATGATCTACTTTATCTGATAATCAAGGTTATGCACAGATAATTTAACAAGGTCCATCATGCCTTAAGGGTTTACTGTAAGCAGATGAGAGTATGAGTTCATAGCAGCCAATATGCTAGAGACATGTACCTGTAGTCCATATAATTAATCTTCTTTGTCTGCAAGGCTAGTATATTTTAAGGAAAGCGTACTATCTTTTGACGTCATTCATGTTCAGTCTACCCTCTCTTGCTTTTATTTTAACCTTGTAATCACCTAAGCGTTTTCTAAGTGGATCCAGCTAATCCCGACCGTGGAGTACCTACGCAAACTTGAAGCATGTTACTGTCTTAAACCACTATCTGCGATCCCCTTCTACAGGAATTTGTTCGACATAGCCGAGCTCGTAGGCGGTATTGGGCAAGGAGCTATGCTGGATGGAGACGTTTCACTGCAGCGCAACCAGGTCCCGCTCATATTGCTTTGGCATCACTAGAAAAGGCGGGTCGAATAGATTTTATGATTACGCAAAATGTTGACAGGTATATGATGATTTGCTCTTTTCGAGGCATTTCTGTGGATGACCAAGCCTTTTGTTGACTTTGTGCTCCATTTTTGCAGATTGCATCATCATGCTGGGAGCAATCCACTTGAATTACACGGGACAGTATATTCTGTTGTTTGTTTAGATTGTGGTTTCTCTGTCCCTCGAGACTCCTTTCAGGATCAACTGAAAGCCATCAATTCTAAGGTCTGTCTCTACTTTATGATGAGTCATATGCAATCTCTTCAAATGACTGATTCTTGAGTGACAATATTAATCTTGCAATACCATTGGAAACATTGTTATATCTGTTAGACTGGGACCCACGTTGACTTGATGTTGTACTATAGTGGGCAGAAGCAATAGAAAATGTAGACCATGGAAATCCAGGATCAGACAAGAGCTTTGGCATGAAAGTAAGGCCTGATGGTGATATTGAGATCGATGAGAAATTTTGGGAGGAAGATTTCCATATACCAACATGCCAAAGATGTGATGGAGTGCTAAAGCCTGATGTAAGATATTTTGCTATGGAAACGCATTTGTAGCCTTCTGCATCGCATTTGCTAATTGCAGTAGCCAAAAAATCATTATGTTCATAAGCTCCCCTAGAAATTTTCTAGAGAAGATAGATATATTCGATTGTTATACGTGTTTTACTACACGTCTTACTGTACTTAATTTTGAAGGTCATCTTCTTCGGAGACAACATCCCGAAAGAAAGAGCTGACAAGGTGATGAAAATTGCAAAAGGCTGCGATGCATTTCTTGTACTAGGATCATCTTTGATGACTATGTCTGCTTTTCGCCTCGTCAGGTAAGATGCTTTTTGCCAACAAACTTTGTTTTTGTCAACAGAGAGTCTAATGTTTATCATCTCAAATTGAAAGGATTCTACTGATAATGATGCCTCGATTTCGAATTAAATTTTTATCTTTGGCATCAGATGGGGACAGACGAGCAAATAGAAGCATCTTACTCTATTCATTGTTCTTTATGCATCACTATGCAGTTTTTTTAGAGGATTAGTTGCTTACTACTATCGAATTTAAAACACAACTTATACAGGGCAGCTCACGAAGCAGGAGCCGTGACCGCCATCGTAAATATAGGAGAAACGCGAGCGGATGACTTTGTGCCTTTGAAAATCAGAGCTCGGGTCGGTGAGGTAGGAATAGGATTTTGCTATCATTCTCTTATATATATAACAAAGCCAATACATATGGTTATTAAAGGCTTGTACATTCTCTTGTGCCTTCTCTTTGCAACTTTTGAAATAATTATTGCATTGACTCGTGTAATGCAGATATTGCCAAGGGTGCTTGATATGGGATCTCTCAGTGTCCCAGCCTCTTGAGTTGGTATTTGTCAAGAGCTATGGACAAGAAAGAAATCCATTGGTTCACATGCTAATCTTTTGTCTCCCTTCTTGCTCTATCAAAAAACTACGGGTGAATTCACCTTCTCAAATGTGTGTGTATATATATTGACTTCTTTCAAATTTGTACGTGACCTGCCATGAAGTTCACTTCTACTTAGGCATCATAAAATGTGAAATTCTTACACATCCCGTGGCTTATCATAAACAGGGTTTGAACCAAAACAAGACAAGCGAGTTCCTAAGTTGACTCAGTGAGTCGTCACTTACAAAACATACCAAAACGAGACAAGCGAGTTCCTAAGTTGACCCAGAGAGTCGTCACTTACAAAGCATACCAAAAGGAGACAACACACGGTTTACACTGTCAGGACTTAGACAAAATCAAAACTACTGCACGAGAGGGACCTAAGAAGCATCGGCCATTGCCTTGTCGATCTCCTCCACATGGTCCCGGAGAATGTTCCACTGCATTGTAAGAAAAAACTTGTTAATACAATACGATCTATATATAGATACACACACACACACACACACGTGTGTACACACACACGTGTGTGCGCGCTTCCTATCAGCCATGAAAACCAGGGGATGCAATGCAATGGAAATACCTGATCCACACTCAAAGAGATACCTGAAACATCATATCACAAGCATATCAGTTACTCTTGTTAAGATTTTGCTTCTTATAAATCATCATGCATACATCATTCATACATACAAAGATGTAAACCACTTAGGTATCATTCCTCGGTGTATGAGATCACTGCCTGAATACTTGTAATGAGTTAATTAGTAAGTCTACTCATCTAAGTCCATCTAAGCCACCCGCGTAAATGAAGATGGATTTTGAATTTGAGATTACGAAAAAAGATATGAGAAACGTATTAGACCAAATTTGGTTAATTAGGAGGGGAAGTAACAACAAGGCCTATACAAAATAATCTCAGACCTCTGCATCTGTATCTCTAGAATTTTGCATCTTCTACTGCTCAAAACACTAAAACAGTTGAAGCAGTTCCCGCAAATTCTTGACAAGCGTGAAATACATCGGTAAACTGATATCTTCATTTTGCCTAAAACGCTCAGATCAAAGGGATGCACCCTTTGACATGAAATACCTTTAAGCAAAAGGGTATGTTTCAATACTCTCTCGATATCATGATAAAACAGGAAGCAGCGGTATATATGCCACCCTAGAAGCCATATAAGCATGTCATGAAGAAAAAAAGATAGAGACAGAAAACTCCTTCATGAATCATCTTTCACCATAATGGACTTCCTCACGCATGTCCAAGTCTAAGAATTGCTCATTTGACCATTTCAGTAACTTTAATGGCAAAAAGCTATCACCTTCCTTATAGCCAATTACACAGAATCTCAAGGAAGAAGACGGTAAAGATGAACTACAGCTAAATGAAAGGGAACTGCCACAAATCAAACAGATTAATATCCATGCTGAGTTTCAGATAGTGAGCAAAAATCTAACCTTTCTTGCCGGGTAAAGTCTTGCCATCCTTGTCATAGAACTCACGAATGTCAATCCAAATTTTCCCATTCCAATTCCTCACCGTCACTCTCCGGTTCTTGGATATCTGATCAAAGCAAACAAACATTAACCCTATAACGCAATGCATTCGCTCCTAATCGCGCATCAATTTAAGCAAAACCCCTATAAACAGGCTATCCATCAAAACCCTAATACACACTATTCCTAAGAGACGAGATTTTGATCCCTCAAACACAGAAAAGGACTAACATTGCAGACAACGATGTCACCAGACTCGTCGGAGGAGTCAGCAGGCTTGGCCACCTTCTTCGCCGGCGCGTGAGCCTCAGCGTCGTCATCCGACGCGCGGCCATCTTCCTCTTTTCTCTTTCCTCTCGACGACATTTACCGACAAACACCCTATAAGGAAAAACCCAGAAAGTTCTCGTCAGATCAAACTGAAACACGGACGGATGAACACTGAAACTTGCCTCTCCGACAATCAGTGTTTTTTCTTCTCTGTGTTCTTACTCTTGGGATAAACTATGGAAGCCCTATGCCTCTCCACATTCCCGGGGTTTATATATACTGTGTTTTTTTGGCTTGGAAATGTGTGTTCGTGTTTTCACGCGCCGTATCGGCGCGTGAGATAAACTAAAATAAATGGTACCGACTTGAAGCGCGTTTTGAAACGCGCGTTTCCAAAAAGACGCGTTTTACTCTCTCTCTCTCTCTCTCTCCCCAAAGGCGACAAAGGTGGTACCAGAAACGCGCGTTTCACTGAAGCGCGTTTTGAAACGCGCGTTTCTAAAACGATGCGTTTTACTCTCTCGTTCCTCTCTCTCTCTCTCTCTCTCTCTCTCTCTCTCTCCAAAGGCGACAAAGGTGGTACCTTTAGCTGTGTGTCCAACTGAGGAAGGGAGAGAGGGAGAGAAAACGGATTGGACTTTGTTTGAAATTGCAAAGCTTTTCAAAAATCTAGGGCTTTTCTGTTTCGTCTGGACGATAAATCTTTCATTTTTTTTTTGTATTTCTCTCTCTCTCGCCGATTTTTTTTCCCTTGTCGACGATTCGAAATCAATAGATGGGGAATTTGTTCGTGAAGAAACCAAAGATCACGGAGGTTGATCGGGCAATTCTCTCTCTCAAAACCCAGAGGCGCAAACTTGGTCAGTATCAACAACAGGTTCGTGATTCACGTTCACTGCCTTTGCTCGGGCGACATTCGGTTTGTGAGATTGATTTTGCTAGAATTTGATCTGAGGTATTGCATCGTGTTGATTTGGAGCGCCCATTTCGGAACTGAGATTGAAGGAACGTTCAGTAGCTTGATTCATCACGCCCCTTGTGGGTAAAAATTGCCAAATTTTGCTACTTTGATCCTCAGTTTGACGTTCCTCGTTGTTGGGAAGTGGGATTAGATTGATGTTCTGATGCAAAATTCGTGCTTGATTGATTTATTACATAAAGTTACTCGACAGACATATGTAGTTTATGTGTCTTTAGATAATATTTGATAGTTCAATGATGCATTTCTTTCTGTCTCACGTGTGGTGACATTCGTGTGGGATCAAAATAGTGGATTCGGGTCGAGGAAATGCAAATTGCAATGCAGTTCTTGCTTGTTATGTTGTGTTTTATTACCTTACCCTCCATCTTTTTACATTTTCTTTTCAGCTGGAGAAAGTAATTGAAGCTGAAAAGCAAGCTGCTAGAGATTTGATCCGCGAGAAGCGGAAGGACAGGGCTTTGCTAGCATTGAAGAAGAAGCGGGCGCAAGAAGAATTACTGAAGCAAGTGGATCAATGGGTCATCAATGTCGAACAACAAGTAAATATCTTCCAAATACTCTTTTCTTTTTCTTTTCCCATTTGATTGTGATTTATTGCTCGATTCTGTCATCTCATCTGATGTCTCCATTTTCGTTTAACGGTAACGGAACTTTGTAATTTTCGTGATGGGGGCATTTTTGTCTCTCTTTTTGTCTATCTACAAGAGATTTTAGATGAACATTTTTCCACCTATTGTGTTCAGTTGGCAGATATTGAACTTGCTAGCAAGCAGAAAGCAGTCTTTGAGAGCTTAAAGCAAGGTACCAATGCAATTAAGGCGATTCAAAGCGAGATAAACCTTGATGATGTTCAAAAACTAATGGATGACACGGAGGAGGCCAAAGCTTATCAAGATGTGAGTTATAAACATTTTTCCCTGGATCAGTCATGTTTATGTTCTATCTGCCTTTTTTTGTTGGCCCATTTTTGCAATTAGATATCAAGTTACATGTTCTGTGAATCTGTAGTTGATTTCCTCATCATCATGATAATAATCTACACAGTTCTTTATTTGTCTCACTTGATTTTGGTCAGAGGTTGCATATTTTTGCCATTTTAGGTTCATCTATCTTGCAGTTTTCTGTAGTTAAAAGTTCAAGCTTTATCCTGATTTCACTGACATAACTATCGTCCTTGTCATTTCTTTGTTGATGCTGACTGAACTCTAAATGAATTGACCTACATTTGGATGTTAGGAACTGAATGCCATATTGGGCGAGAAACTATCAGCGGAAGACGAGGAAGAGATATTAGCAGAATTCGAGAACTTGGAAAGTCAGGTATGTGTCACTTGATCTGGTATTCTTTTTTTCTGCTTTCATCTTGAATTTACTCTTCATAATCATCGACATTGACCGGCCTTCATCACTTAATAAACATCCTCTTCAACCTTATTTACTTTCAAACATATCGTTTATCGTTATGTGACCCGTGCTGCCTAGTTCCATAACACCACCCTGCTTCTCTGGGGGGATAATAACATTGTGAATTACAATGGTTAGAAATAAGGTGTTTCCAATTTTTCAACTTGAAAATAAGAAATGAGAGCTTAATAAACTTTGTGTACACAATTCTATGCGTATTTAGCGAGTCTCGGGATGAGAAACATTAACATTTCTCGGAGTATAATGTAAATATATGTTTGTTTGTTTGATTGTTAAAGCTTATTGTTGAAGACTTGCCTGAAGTGCCTACGACAGAGGCACTGTCTGGAGAACCCGAGAAGCTTGATCTCCCCGATGTACCGACCAAAGCACCTGTGGAAATCACTCCTACTGAAGCTCCTTCAAAGAGAAAAGGTTTTCTCTTCTCCTTTCTCCATATATTCTCCTCCCCCCTTTTTTTTTTCTTTCTCTACATTTTATGTTCACAAAACAGAACACAGTCTGATGTCAAAGTGACAAATTGGTTCAAACTCCTAATGCCTTGGTTGCTTTGTCCCATTCTTGTTGCAGTTCTTGAAGAACCATTGCCTGCTTGATTCAAGATTAGATGAATCTAATCTACACATGTTTCATGGAGTGTTAATCTCTCTCATCTGCACAAGTTGTATGCAGACCCTCAATCTCCTCTTTTCCATTACAGTTTCTTCTGACACTTTCCTTTTAGGGTTCCTAAAGATCTGTGTAATTTCCTCCTACAAATTTGTAAAGAATGAAATTCTGTGACTTTCCTCTGAATATAACAAATAGCTGGCTATTGCATAGTCTTTGTTTGTTTGTTTGCTTTTTTGGTTGGTTCCAAGTCTTCCCAAAGACAGTTACCAGAAAGCAACAAGCTCAATCAGAATCAGAACCAGAACCGAAAAAAAAGCTGTCTATGATACAAACATAAACATCAAAAGCAGTTTCAGTTTTTACAATCATTCTTTGTCCTGTAAACTATATATATACATTGCCCTGAGCTTTTGATACCTGCATTGTTCCTGTTCGGGCATCCTAAGTTCATAGCTCTGAGTGAAAGCTTCTTGTGTCTGAAGAACTCTTGCCCTCTGAAATGCTCGTGGAAGATGATCTCTTTGTAGGAAATCTGGAGATAATGAGTCTTGCCATATTCTCAGCCGCCACTGCGCTCATCTCAATGGTGCTTGCCCCGTTTTCAAATGCATTCACGTAGTACAGATGGTTGCCGTCCAATACAAATGGTGCGAAAACCTCAGGCGCATGGTACTTGGGATATGCAGCCCAGTCTATATGAACTGTCTCTTTTCTCACACTATTCCACACAAGAAAACAGTTTCACCAGAATCAACCAGCAATTAGAAACCGGACAAGGTAGTTACTCGTTTTCTGTCGTTTGTTCAATTGTTTCAGACTAAAATCCTCTGATTTGCATGGAGGAGACTGATAAATGAAGGAGTGTGCAAAATATCTGAGTTACCTGAAGAGGTCATCCAGCAAGGCGTCTGACATAGGTTTGCGCGAAAATATCTTGTAGGTCATATCGTTGTCATCGTGTCTCTTGAGGACTGAGATGCTAGAGAATGGAATTTCCGGGTCTTCAACGGTTCCCACCAGCTTTGGTATATCCAAGACAGATTTCAGCCTGAAATATCCCTTTTGAAAGGGGAAAGAAACATTCAGAGGCAAATCCCGAGACAGAATTAATCATCATACTACACTACATTGATGCTTACCGGGTTTAAAAGTCCTCGGACAAATGTTGCATGTGTGTGCTGTAGTTCTCCCTTGGGTATAGAGGTTGGAGGTGAGAACTGAATATCCACTTCATCAAGTGGTGTAGCAACCACTGTAACATTGCATATGTAGCTGCCTCCTTTTGTGGAGTTAAGCTCGTAATATTTACCGAGGTATGAGATGGATTCAATTCTCTCGTTTAGGTGTAACATGGCGTCCGAATGATTAATCAGCTTGGCAGCCATCTGCCAATTCCCACCTTCAACAGCCCATAATCCTCCACCTGAACCTGCCATGGAGACTGCACCTGCAAGTCCACTGATGAGTAAATTCTGTCCATAGTTTATCCTTGTAATGACCTGGAAAGGAAAAGTGCAGAACCCCTCAATATATTTGGCATCCCTTGATATTTTTCATGGTTTCTGATCGGCATTTTCTCATTAAACCGAGATGGCTATGTGGCTGGAAATGAAGAACGGCTAGCAGGTGAGTAGCTATATCTCAGCTTGTGAGAAATTCTTACGGAAATGAGCTCATTGGCTAATAAAGGAGACATCTGAGCATCAGATAGTTCCTCCAGGAGAGCCCGCCTCGTGAGATTGTACAAGCCTGACCATTTTAGCATCTCCTCAACTGTATCAAAGACGGGTCTTGTTTCAGGACTTTCATAGTACTTCAAGAAATTACCCACAGCATCCTACATCCATGAAGACACACAAAACTGAATAACTACAGCAAGAACATCCACATTTCTCTCTTTTCTCTTGTTCCCTTTTGGATAATTCAAGCAGAGAAACTTTCTTCATATTGTTGAATCTTCAGTTAATTTCCAAGCAAGATAAGGTTACAAGGACTGTATTCATGAATCGAAAGGGAACAAATTTGTGCTAAAACCACATAAAGAATCTACTTTGATCAGTCTGCACTCTGCACGCGATCCGAACATTTGTTTGCTCAGAAATCCAAATCTGCATCTAGCCACTCTTACACCTTTAATCTGATTTACCCTTGAAAAGTTCATGAATTATCATTCAAGTTACTGCAAATTCATGAAACTGTATTCGATTTACGATAGAGATGGAGAAGAAAATACCTTAATGAAAGCATCCATCCTGAAAATCGAGAACCCATAACGCATGAAGATGTACAGATCATTCATCAACGAGACGATCCAGTTCAACAGTGGAGACTTGAAACTAGCTCTTAACGTCTTGAAGATAAACTCCCTCCCGTTCCAGATTCCGAGCGATGAATCATCCGACGACGACGACGACGGCGATCGGATCTTCAGGTTAAACTTCTCGGTGAAGTTCCGAGCGTGGTAGTTGTTCGGGTGAAGAATCGAAGCTCCGGCCTCGAACGTCTCGCCGGCGATGGTAACGGTGGCCATGCGTCCGCCGACGACGCCGTTGCGCTCGAACATCAGGATCCGGGCTCCATCGCCGGAGACGGAGTAGTTACGGAGGAAGTAGGCGACGGATGCGCCACCGATCCCGCTTCCTACGATGCAGACGGTCGGAGGCGCATCATCGTAACCGCCGTCGCAACGGAGAAGTGGGAGCCATTGGAGAAGGAGGAGGAGGAGGAGGAAGACTGAAACTGCCGAGAATTTCATCTGGGTTTTTCACAGATACTGAATTCTGATAGAATTCGAAGGTCTTAGCCTTTCGATCGAAATTCTGAATCAGTCTTTGTAGAGGTAAAGGTGAAGCTTTTCGTCCGCACTATCACACCCTCGTTATGCAAAAGACTCCACCGTCTGAATTCTTCATACTTCCTGTCCTATAAAAAAAAAACTTTTTTGTCTTCAAGAAATCAATAGATCTTCCGAGGCCATATAGGTAAATATGTAAAGATAGAGGGGGCTATTTGAAATTATGTAAACTTTCCCGAGGGCAGCCCAGTTATAGTCCTCAAAAGGGCGGGAAAATTCCTCGATTTCGTCCTGGTCTGGGCTTGCAAGCAGAAGCTCCCTCTTCGATTTTCCCACCGAGAAAAAAACCGCTAGGGTTTTCCGTCAATGGCACGACACGGTGGTCGCCCCGTGACTGTCCTAAACGTGGCGGAGAAGCCGTCCGTCGCCAAGTCTGTTGCGGGAATACTGTCGCGGGGAAATTTCCGGACCCGGGAGGGGAGGTCTCGGTACAACAAGATCTTCGAGTTCGATTACGTCATCAATGGTCAGCCGTGTCGGATGCACATGACCTCCGTGACGGGTCACTTGATGGAGCTCGAGTTCGCCGAGCGATTCCGTAAGTGGTACTCCTGCGACCCGGCCGATCTCTACCATGCTCCTGTCCTGAAACACGTCCCCGAGGTAGGTGATGCTTCAAGTATGCCATATACATGCGTTTCTGTGTGTTATGTCAACGTCTACCTGTGTGTGTTGTTGCATTGATGATTGGGTATTGGGCGATTTGAATTCGATATCTGGGCAGGGCAATTTATGGATTATTTGGGAATGGAACTGGAGGAGTAAGATGATATTGTTTTGCCTGATAATGCATGATGGGTTCGAGAATTATGAGGTCAAGTGTCATTTTTTTTGATCAAAATGGATTGACGTTTTTTCTTTTGAGTGATTAGGACAAAAAAGACATTAAGAAGACATTGGAGGAGGAAGCACGAAGAAGCGATTGGCTTGTTTTGTGGCTTGATTGTGATAGGGAAGGTGAAAACATTGCATTTGAAGTTATTGAGGTCTGTAGGGCTGTTCGTCATAATCTTGTTATACGGAGGGCTCATTTCTCTGCATTAATTGACAGGTAGAGGAAGCTAAGGTTATTACTTTTTATATTTTCTTTATTCTCTCTGTCTGAAAACCCATAAATGAGTATTGTGATGCGTTTGTATTGAAAATTTCAGGGAAATTCATGAAGCAGTTCAGAATCTTAGAGATCCTAATCAATTGTTTGCTCACGCTGTAGATGCTAGGCAAGTGAGTATCCGTAAACCCCTGGCATACCGATTAGATGTAGTGTTTATACATTACTCTGCAAATGGACCCGTGGTATTATTTGGAAATAAGGTTGCACATCATTTTCTCCCATAGACCATCTGTATATCTAATTCATTCATTTGGATACCTCAGGAGATAGATCTGCGGATTGGCGCTTCTTTCACTCGATTTCAGACAATGTTGCTGAGAGATAGGTTTTCTATTGACTCCATGGGTGATGAAAGGAGTTCTGTTATAAGTTATGGTCCTTGTCAGGTAAAGTGATGATACCACTATGAAAAGGTTGTCAGTACCATCAGCATTATTATTTGTATCAGAGACATGATTTTCAATGTTTTTCATACAGCTGAGTTTTTATTTATTTCCTCTTGAAGTGCAGTTTCCTACACTAGGCTTTGTCGTAGAACGATACTGGGAGATCCAGGCACATGAACCAGAAGAGTACTGGACCATCAACTGCTCTCACAGATCAGAAGAAGGCCTTGCCACCTTCAATTGGATGTAATTTTTGATAATTTGGTTCACAGAAAATAAAGATTCTGATGAATTGGAACATTTATTTTTGGTTCCTAGCTATTTCCCTTAACTGTTGTCATAAAATGTAATTTTGGATTGCAGGCGTGGACATCTATTTGATTACGCTGCAGCTGCCATATTATATGAAATGTGTGTTGAAGAACCTACTGCTACCGTGAGTGAAACCTTAACTCATTCCTGCAGATCTTTTGGTATCTGATAGATCAGCTCCCACTAAATATTATTTTTTCTTCTCTTTCCATCCAGGTCATGAATGTCCCACAGCCAAGGGAAAGGTTCAAGTATCCTCCTTACCCTTTGAACACTATTGAACTTGAAAAACGTGCTTCGAGATACTTTCGAATGAGTTCAGAGCAGACTATGAAGGTATAAGCGAGAGCTGATTTGGTTTGGTTCTTTTTCTCTTTTGTTTTCTGTCCTGGTAGGATGGCTGGATTTCTTTCCATCGTCTACCTAACTAGTTATACTGCTCTGTTTAGTCTGTCGTTTTAGACTGCATTGGCAAAATATTGAACTAGTTTTGTGGTTAATCATCTAAGAAAGTCTAGTCAGTTGAATCTTATTTGGACCAAGTATGCTTGAAATCTGGCAATGTGCAAATTTATTTTGTGTTCAATGAGTGTAAGAGATTTTGCTGTTTTGCGTCTATATATGATTTGCTGGTTTTTCATTCACAATCGAACTCCAGTTTCTTCCCAATAGATTTTCTGCATTCTTATTGGCACATTGACATTTTAAGCGGAAATTATGTATCTTTGTTCGACAACATCAATCGTGATTTATTAGGTGGCAGAAGATCTTTATCAGGCTGGTTACACCAGTTATCCGCGTACAGAGACCGATTCTTTTTCTAGCAGGACTGATTTGCGTGTGGGTAACTTTTATTCATGAGTATTAAAATTATTTTGAAGGTTTATACTGTCCTCTGATATTTTTGATAAATAGTTGTTTCTTATGATCCTTACATTTTGTTTAGGCAATTGTGGACGAACAAGTAAGACATCCTGCATGGGGTTCATATGCACAGAGGCTACTGAACCCTGAGGAGGGATTGTGGAGAAACCCTGGTAATGGGGGTCATGATGACAAGGCTCATCCACCAATTCACCCGACAAAATTTTCTAGTGGTGAATCTAACTGGAGCAGAGATCACCTTGTAAGTATGACTGTTGAACCATTACCCAAAGTCTTGTGACTTTTTATTTAGCATCTCCAAGCTTATGTACAGCCTTGTAATCTTTTTTTTTCCCTTTGGAACTTATTTTTCCTTTTCCCTAGAATGTGTACGAACTAGTTGTTCGTCATTTTCTAGCATGTGTTTCCCAGCCAGCAGTTGGTGCTGAAACTACTGTGGAAATCGATATTGCTGGTGAGCGGTTTTCTGCATCTGGGAGAGCAATATTAGCCGTAAGATTCTCTTATTTGCTTGTTATTTTTTTCAGCTTCTGCAGATAATTTATAATATAAAGCTGTATTTTTCCTGCCAAGGTATTGAAGTGGATTTCTCTACTTTGTTATATACTGGATATTGACCTGCTTCATTTCTGTTTGTCTAGAAAAATTACCTTGACGTGTACCGATTCGAATCGTGGGGAGGTTCAGTGATTCCAAAGTATGAAAGAGGGCAACAGGTTTGTGCCTGTTTTTATTGCTCCTATTGAACTGCTTTCAGTAAGATATCGATTGTATTTACTTAACTGTGTCTCCTTAGCTTAGCACTATTTTTTCCTGCTCACAAGTTACTTACCTCAAGTTTAATGAAAGTGGAAATTTTTTTCTAGATTTGAGCAAATAGGGAAGTTCTGAATTGTTTCTTTTTTTGTTAAAAGAAAAACGTTACCATGTGTGTGTTTTACCTATAGTGGCATGAAGAGTTGGGTTCATGCGTTTGTAGAAGCAAGCAACTCCAGTTTGATTAGTGTAAATGGACAAGACTGCTAGTCTGTGAGCATCAATAACTATATGTAGAAGGAGCTAAGATTTTTAACGTCTCTTGAGTCTCTCCTACCATTACAACTAGTCGTTTGTGCCTCTGGCTCCGAAAATTTTGTTCTTTTTTTGCTATACAAAAGGAGGCTATGTCGAGTATTTGCTTGCCTATTAACATTCATTCTCGATCACTTTTCTTTTCATGCTACCAATTTAGCTTTTACAGCCAGGAGAAATAGATAACTAGTCCGGAACATCTTGATTATGTGCAGTTTATCCCAACAACTTTAACTCTTGATTCAGCTGTAACGAGACCGCCACCCCTTCTGAGTGAAGCCGACTTGCTGAGTTGTATGGACAAGGTAATAAACATCGTCCTGTTTGTGGCTGTCCAATTCACTTTGTCGTTTGCATATTCTTATTCATCTATACATAGAATTCACGGGCAGTTATTTGTCTTACTGTTGGTTCTGTGCCACCTTCTTCTGTTGGTTAGGCAGGCATTGGGACAGATGCAACAATGCACGACCACATAAAAAAGCTCCTTGATCGGGGTTATGCTACAAAGGATACTAATACCCGTTTTTGTCCAACCAATCTGGTAGTTGATATGATACTTAAACTTTCTGTCGACTTGTTTCTTTCAGTATTCAAGCGCTAACAAATTCTTATATGTTTTTCCTCGTTTCTGAAAGTAGCTTAATGCAATTGATTTTGTTTCAGGGTGAGGCGCTTGTTATGGGATATGATGATATGGGGTATGTAGAAAACCTTCATGTCAGTTGACAAATCAATTTTCCTTATCCAAAATGTCTAAGAGTTAGTAATGCATTCGTACCCACTTTCTTATTTATTGTTTAGGGGGGTTTTTTGGTCATATATTGTGGATCAAGAGTTTGTAATATGTGGAAACTTGCAAAATTTGCCTAGTTTTTGTATTTTAAAGGATTATCTTATGAAGAGAATAATCTGTATGAAGATTCAGTTGTTTAGATCGCATTCTATCACCATTTTTTCCTCAGGTACGAATTATGGAAACCAAATCTGAGAGCCATCATGGAACATGATATGAATGAAGTTAGTGTTGGACAGAAGACTAAAGCTGAAGTTCTTGAAACTTGCTTGCAACAAATGAAAGCGTGTTTCTTAGATGTGAGTCAGCCTATCCTAACTGGTTACTTTCTGTGCCAAAATTGTTCAATTTAGGTTCTTGCATCCTTTAGATTAATTCTGAAAACTAATTCTTACAGGCAAGAGTGAAAAAAACGAAGCTCCTGGAAGCAATGGGGATTTTCTTTGATAGGTGGCCCAATACCTTGTTCCAAGTACTGTATAGCTTAATTTTATTCTTTCTACACGTATCTAATACTGCTTGTGCAGATCTAATAGAACCAATGAAGGAGAAAGCGAGACAGGTACTGAAGTTGTTCGACGGTGTAATGTTTGCCATGAATCAGATATGGTGCTCAGGAAGATCCGGGTACTTGATATAAAAGTAGTTGCTTAGCATGCGTTGTTATTTTATGGCATAAACTATATACTTGTACTTGATACATCCCTTCACCAAAAATTATATGTCAATCTCTGGGTTTTTTATTGTATCATATGCCAACCTCTGGGCTCCACAACTTTTGCATTTTTTTCCAAAATCTCCTTTGCTTCTTGTTTTCAGGATGGCAATTTCATGGTTGGGTGCACGGGTTATCCACAGGTCTGAATGGTGCCAGCTTTTACTTAATATTCTGCCTGACTTTGTTGCACTACTCCTATGCAGCTCATGTGCACCAGTTAAATTAACAGATGCTCACCATCTTCAGTGTAGAAATGCAGTCTGGCTGCCTGGACCTGTACTGGAAGCAACAGTCACCACTGATGTCTGCCAATTCTGTGTTCCAGGTTCATACCTATATTTTCCAGTACAACAATAAACATAGACACTAAGATAATACTGCACCTGGATAACACATGTCAATCTCTTGTTTGGCTTTCAATCAAATGGTTCAATTTTCCCAACAGGTCCTGTTTACAAGATTCGTTTCAAGTTCCGCCAGATTGAAATCCCTCCAGGTTTTGATGTTAATCACTTAGGTATGCCAATTTCTGGTCTTTTTACTTCTATGTAGAGCAGAAACTTGCAATTAATTTAGGGTCTTAACTTTCAGTTGTTCACTCTGTTATTCTGATGCTGTCCAACATCAATATTATCTGGTTGATACCTGTCATTTGTTAATGTCATGGTCGAAATGATAAGTTAAGTTGTCTTTACTCTGTGAACAGGCTGTGTTGGTGGCTGCGATGAGATTCTGAAACAGCTGATAGAAATATGTGGAACTGGATCACGCACACCAGGTTAGCATATAGACATCACTCTGTAAAAACACACTACAAATTGAAGATAAATACTGAAACTACTGCTAAAGCAGTGTAAAATGTATGCCTAAATTATGATTTATCGATCAATTATACTGCATGATCTTTTCCTATGGCCTCACGGATGCACGACGTCAGACTAAAATGATGTTTTGTTCTGTAGCAAGGAGAGCTCCAGCTGCATCAGCAAATAATCTCCAAGAAAGCAACATGAGACAGACTGTTTGCATACATTGCCATCAGTTAGGCCATGCTTCAACTAATTGCCCTTCGCAGGTTTCGGGATTTCGGAGTTCTCGTTCTAGTAGAACGAATCTGAGAAATGGTACGATACTTACAACCTTATAGAACAAGTTATGATAAACATCTTTGCTAGAATTCTGACATGCCAAGGGAGTCAATCAATGAATTGTCCTTGTTAAGCCTTAGCACATGGTTGTGGTATATATGATTTTTGTTCTCTCCTTTTTTTTTTATGGTGGTGTGATACAGAGGAGGCTTCAGTTTCATGTAGCACATGTGGAACACCATGTGTATTGCGTACGGCCAACACAGAGGCTAACAGGGGAAGGAAATTCTTCTCATGTCCATCACAAGGCTGCAGCTTCTTTTCGTATGTACTCCTCACCTGCAATCCTACGGTCTTTTGTTCTCATCTATTATTAGCCCGATGCCAAAGGTTTCCATCTATATCTAGTCTGAACACCGAGCCAACAAAGCTTAGTGTAGTAACCAATCCGTAGAAATATTCAAGGCCAGATAACTCAGCTGTCTGAACTTTAGATGTTTCACAGATTTATCCTAGGAACCAGGAGAATATGCATATTGCTTCGTGACAAATTGTAGGAGGATAGCATCAGGAACACAAACCAATTAGGAAATACACTACTACGTATATAATTCTTTCGATATGATTCTTAATTCTACAAGGAACATAACTTAAGAAAACACAAATCGATTAGGAAATACGCTCATGATGTAATCTGTGTAATTCCCAAATCTTTGTGTTTCAGGTGGGAGGATAGTATCAGTAACACAGCGAGCTCGGCTTCTAACTCTGGCCGGAGCACAGGGAGAGGGAGAGGGAGAGGCAGAGGAGGCAGGGAAAGTGGTGGCACAAGCTTCGTCTCTGTGACTGGAGAACCTCTAAGTGGGAGAAGGTGCTTCTCTTGCGGTGACCCTTCTCATTTTGCAAACGCTTGCCCCAACCGGGGCCTCTGACTATATTATAATGTATGAAATTTTGATGTTTACAGTATTAGGATGTGGCTGTGTGGTATTGTTATCTTTGTGATATAATATATATATATATATATATTATATATATATATAAAATATTGGGCTAAAAAAAATTATAATAGTATATTGGATTGAAAATTTTGTTGTTTTGATATGGAATTTATCTTTGTTTCTTACACTTAAACTTATGTTGTTGTAATATGGAATTCAGCCTCTCTCTTTTCTCTTTAACACTGCGGTGGTGTGGGATTTGGCTTCAGAAAAAGAATACATCGTGAAACCACAGCAGACATTACCAAAAGGATAAAAAGTTTGAAGTCTTATGTCTCTGATAGAATCCGAAGGTTTCATCGTATCATACTTGATTAGGGCATTTTCTCTCTCTCTCTCTCTCTCTCTCGGGGTTTTGCCAAAAAACCCATACTTTCTGGGTTTTGAGCCGCCCGTCTCTCTGCTCTCTGCTCTCTGCATTTGGACTTGTTCGCGAACCGTGGCTGCTTCCTCCAGGTACCTTGACTTTTTCTTCGGTGTAAGATTTCGCTAATGTTCATCTTTATATCGAAAAAGAAAGCCCGCCGTCTTGGTCTCGACCTGTGATTTCTGGGTTTTATTGTGGTGGTATCGATTTCGAATTGGGTCGTGCTCGTGGAAATGCCTGAGAGATGCCCCCCGAGTTGACTCGGTCACGGCCTTTCTCTTGATTCCTTGCATGGGAGTTTAGTGGAGTCAAAATCGGGTTTCCTCATTGATTTTATGACTCGAGGGTTGATGCTAAGATTTCGATTTTGTTCCTTTTTTGGATCAATATTATCCACAAGATGGAAGAATAAAGCGATTGGCTTTGCATTCTAGTGAATTTTTGGGACATCATCACGAGTTCTCTCTCTGTGTTCAAGGTCCTACTCTAACATATTGGCTTGGAAATTTTTTTAAAAAAATGTAATTTGCATGTAATGAGCTTCATGATCTACATCTTAGGCCGCCGGATTCATGACATCATCTGAGATTAATTCCATTAGCTGAATTTAGTGAAAGGTCATGAAAATATGTTTTGGATCCTTAGTGTAGATTATGTAATCCATTGATCTGTTGAGTTTGCATCTAAATGAAATTGTGGTACTATTGATCATTCAGTTTATGCTTTTTCCTTCTCTGATCTCCTTTGCCTTCTGTATCTCTTCCCTTTTTGGCATTGCTTCATTGGCAGATAGTTCTAGGCTGATCAAAGTGTTTTACTCATGTGCTGAAAAAATAAATGTTAGGAAGGAGAAATGGCGACGCGACAAAATGGAGAAGAAAATCAACAGAGCCCCGACCAGGTGGCTCCTAGTTTTGTTGGGGCGATAGAAGCACAATACAAGAAGCTCAAAGAACATGCTGAAGCCTACCCGTATGTCTGGGCTTCGTATACGGTTGTGTATGGTGGATTTTTTATGTGGTTGGCCTATAGATGGAGGAAGCTTCGAAAGACTGAGGATAGAGTACGAGTTCTTCAGGAGAGATTGCGAAAACTCGTTGAAGAAGAAGAGGCTGCTTCTAAATCCGCTCAATCGGTGGAGAAGTCTTCATCTTCTGATAAAACACTTCCCAAGTAGTTGTTAGAGTTTTGGTGCTGTCCCTTTTGTGGTTTCGGCCGGGTAAGTTTCTTTGGAACACAAAATCTGGTTACCTCCTGTTTTTTCGATTCCTCTAACCAAATTCAGAGTAATACCAAACTGACTTGGGTCTTTGTTGTGTTGGTCCTTTTCAAAGCCACAGCCTTTGAGCATCGTATGTAAACCATTAAACCATTACCAGCAGCCCTTTGTTTTTTGTAAACACTTGCCGGTTTATGAGAGTTCTTATGCATTTGTTGAAAATAAAGTTCTGCCATCTCAAACCTTTGTATGAGACTGTCTGGAAGAATCAGATTCAGAGACTTGTGTGCAGGTTGCAATGATCATAACATGTTTTGAAAATGGCAGGTACTTCCATTAAAGATTTCTTTTCTTGCATAAGTCACTTGCAATGGCCATGGAGGCCAATAGCCATAGCTGCAGCACTTCTTTCAACATTGAACAAAAGGGCGTCGGGTTTTTGTCTGAAAAAGAATGCCATCATTATGCTTTTGATGTGAACATATAGATTCAATCCATCAAAGGCAATCATCTGTTGTGGATCATCATCATCATCATCATCATCATCATCATCATCATCATCCTCGTCTATTTCCTTCAGCTTAAGAGACATTGGACCGTCCAACTGATCCAAAGCTTCTTCCTCCGTGTCTGCATGTCTACTTGTCTCTATCCCACTTGCAAGATTCCTTATACACATCTGCGGGATCATAATCTGTGTTGTGACCATTATCTTCTTCAGAGTTAGGAAGACAGGGTTGTTCATGAAAAGATGGGAGATTTCCCGCCTAATCTCCAGGAGATTTTCTCTCCTTTTGCCTGCAATATTTTTCCTTTTAAAGGAAGGCGAAATCTCTACTTGCGCACGTCGTTTGAGCTCAGAGGTTTTCTTCCATGGCGGATCGTGTCGTCCGCCATTTTCGAAGATGAAGCAATAGACAAGGAGAGAGAGTATTGTCTTTTGATCACGAGTGGCCATTTCGGTTTCGGCTTATATATTCATTTGATTTTATGTTACGTGTCCGTTATATTCAATTTCGATTCGAATTCAGTTTATTGATAAAAAAATATTAATTTAAAAAAATACAGTTTTTTTGTTATTTTTATATGAAGTTGGAATTTAGATTTTTTATTATAAAAAAATATTATAATTTTTCGATTTGGAAATAATCGAATCGAAAGTCCAATTTATTTTTGGCGACCGTTTGTCTTAAACTCCACTTTCAAATCATAATTTAATTTAATTTCTAATATTCTATAAATAAAACCATCAATTTTCTTTGTAATAGCAATAGAAATGGAGTCTTAAGGTATATACATAATTAAAACCCTAGGAAAACTGGCGGGAATCGCACCGTTCTCTGCTCTCAAACCCCTCAACTCAACGCTCTCACGTGCTCTCTTCCCGCTCTCCTCACCCACAACCGATGAACAGAGGCGGAAACTCCAGGAAGCGGCCGCCCCCGGCCC